GGCCTAGGAACCCAGAGGAGAAGAATGCACTTGAGGCAGCTGCCTATGGGTGGCAGCAGTGCCCACAGTTGGGCAGGCTCCACACTGGGTGCTTTTCTCAGCATCTGTACTTTGTGCGGTCCTTTGTTTAGCTGTCATCCACATTTGCTAAGAAAGGAGCACAACCTGTTTAAAACTTGGTGCAATTTTTGATTTGATAAAAAGATAATGCCCCAGTTCAGGAGACTAAGTGCAGTGACAAAGGTGCAGATGAGACTGAAATAGACCTGAGACTTCCAGAGGGGGTTGCCTCTGGCTAGAAGCAGCCTTGTCAGCTTACTACAGTGAACCTCAGAACATTCTCAATTCTATGCGTATCATGCTCTGAAAGGTTGAGAAGGACTGAGAAAGTATTTGGGGCTTCTGTCATTTTAGTTTTCTGTGACTTGAGAGTGGAGCGAGAAAAGAAAAAGTTAGGTGTTTTGAAACACAAGTGATATACTTTATGTTCTAACTCACTCTTTCCTTTCTCCAGGGCTCTTGATTTGCTGCATGGCAATTATCAGTCAATCCAACTCCCACTTCATGTTTTTCATTTAAGCTGTTAAAATAGTCTTCCTTACCACAAGAATTATATTATTTTCTCTTTGTATAAATCTTATAAATGAGTGAAAATAGTCTGTTTATTTTCCTCATCTTATTTTTTATTTTTAAAATAATATCCTGAAGAGAAAATAAAATATTTGAGAACACCTAGTGCTTTCAAAAAAGGAAAAAAAAAATACAACTTATTTTTATTGCCCTGTGAAATCTGCTTTTCTGTGAAATTCCATCAAGCCTTCCTAACTTGATGTCATTGCCATTTTATCCAACTCTGAATCAGACCGAGTCTCCAGGTCACTTCAGAGTTGTGATAGATGCCAGCAAAGTAGTATTAGCTGTTGAAAAGCTACCTTTCAATTTTTGTGGGATGAAGTAGGATAAAATAAATAAACCCATCACATCCTGATATCAAAGTTACATAAAAATCTCTTCAGTAGATGGAGGTGCAAAGATAAAGTAGTGGACTTAGAATTTAAAGTGTCTCATGTGTTAAGTGTGAAAAATGTTACGAGGTGGGTGCATTGTTTGAGCTCAGGAGGTCGAGACCAGTCTGGGCAACATGGCGAAACCCTGTCTCTACTAAAATACAAAAAATTAGGCCGGTGTGGCAGCGTGTGCCTGTAGTCCCAGCTCCTCAGGAGGCTGAGGCAGGATAATTGCTTGAACCCGGGAGGTGGAGGATGCAGTGAGCCAAGATCACACCACTGCACTCCAGCATGGGTGACTGAGTGAGACTCTGCCTCCAAAGAAAAGAAGAGAAGAGAAGAGAAGAGAAGAGAAGAGAAGAGAAGAGAAGAGAAGAGAAGAGAAGAGAAGAGAAGAGAAAAAGAAAAGAAAAGAAAAGAAAAACATCATGTTTTTCTCTAACGGATAGATGCAAACCTTCTCACTGATGATTATCAATAATAATTCTTGCAAAACTTATTTTTATTTTATGCATATTCTTTCTGTAATAACATTTTAAAGTGGAACATTTTGTGGGTGTTCTGGTCCAAAATAAGACATTTTAAGCAAATCTTCTACCCACTTGCTATCAATCACCTCTTCCTTTTGACCTCTTTTCCTCCCATCATCCCACCCCCACATACATAATAATAGAGTTGAATCCTCACAGAGCTGTGAATTCTCTGGCACAGTTGGTTCTGTTCTCGAAGTAATGTCTTCCATAGAAATGGGCATCAAAAATGATTTACGGTCTGCAGACCCAGAAGTTAAGGATTACCATTACATTAAAAGGTGGTCTCGGGCACCTGTAGTCCCAGCTACTTGGGAGGCTGAGGCAGGAGAATGCCCTGAACCCGGGAGGCAGAGCTTGCAGTGACAGTGAGCCGAGATTAAGCCACTGCATTCCAGCCTGGGTGATAGAGCGAGACTCTGTCTCAAAAAAAAAAACAAAAACAAAAACAAAAAAAACTGTCTCTAAACTCAAAGAGAACATGAGAAGTCAGGAGAGGACATTGGGGACAATCTCTTGAGATTCGACTTTATCAGCCATCTCAAGTCAAAATATATTTGGTTAACTTTGATTTAAGTAAGTGGTTGCCATAATCCTCAACTTAGTTTACATGTATACAGTATATAGACAGTTTTTGGTGATATTATTTAATACCACACACTATGTATCTAATGGGTGATATAAAACTTAACAGGAGTCTTCCTTCTCTTCCCTTGCTGAAGCCTTGGATCCTGAGTGATGAGTCAATCAGCTTTTGTGAACACTCCCAAACGAAGGAGATAGCCCCTACTACTGCTGACAGCTTTAGTTGTTAGAATGTTGTCTTGTATATTGAGCCAGAAATCTGTGCCTTGCAACAACCACTCACAATTCCTAATTCTGCCCTGTAGAGCTTCCTCTACTATATGAATTTCTATAAATAATACATGTTCCTTCTTTTCTCTCTGGCCTACTCATGGTGGTGTTGCCAAAGCATCAGTCTGGGTTGTCTCCTTTTCTGCCTTGGGGATACCTGATAGTCTCATGATTTGAAATATCATCTATATGCTGGTAACACCCATATTTATATCAGTAGGCAAGTTGACATGTGGACCATATATTCCCTTCCGCCCACATGTCACTTCCACTTGGATATCTAACAGGCATGTAGAAATTAACAAGTCCCAAGCCTGATGCTCCAAAGTCTTCCCATCTCAGTAAATGTTAACTCCATTCCTTCAGTTGTTAGTTATCCCCTCTCCTACCTACTATTTTCTCCCCTTGTCATTGCATTCCAATCAACCAACTTTCTTGGTGGACCCTAAAGACACCTGGTGTGTTCTTGCCTCAGGATTAGTGTGCCCCATCCCCTTCACCTGGAACATTCTTTCCCTAGATATGTACGTGGTTTGTTCTCTCCTTTCTCTCAAATTTTTGCTTACATATTCCATTCTAACACAAAGCCTTCCTTAATTACCCTGTTTAAAGTGTAACCCAGGCTCCTTTTCCAACTTTATATTATAATTTCTATGGGAAATTATCACCTCTTTCTGTATATTTTACATGTGTATTGTCATCTTCTCCCACTAAAATGTATTACAGTATACTTAAGGAAGAGTTCTTTTGGTCTGGTTTTTACTGCTATATCTTTACAACATACAACAGTGCCTAGTGCATAGAAGTGCAACAAGTATTTATTAAATGACAAAAAAACCTGATTGTTTTACACAACTAAAGTTCCACAGAAACCACTTTGTTCAGGGCAGTACCAAACCAATATAAAGACCCCAAAGACGCAGTTTTCTTCAGATTTCAAACTTCTAACACAGCTTAAACTAAGCTCATGCCCAGCCTGCAGAGTCCCTTTCCTCTCCATGATCAAGAACAAGATGAGCTCTAGATGACCCTTCCTCGCCACCCTGTATCTGTCCCTACTTTTCCTTTACCTGGCACTACTCAACTGACTCAGATGCTGCAAGCATGCCCATGGCAGTTATGATGGCTTGGGGACACAGTCTCCTTAGGGAGAAAGTAGGGCTATGGTCAGGAGGGGAGATGGATATGCGGCACCCTTCAAACCTGGTTAGCATTCTCTGCCTCACTTCCTCTTCCCTTCCCTGGTGGTCTCTTTCCCATTGTCCAAAAGCCACACAGGAACCCTAGTGTGCAGCACATGAGCTGGTCAAGTAGAAAGTTACAGTCAGTGTAATTGGAATTTTACTATGCTTTTAATTAACTAGATTTTTTAAAAGTTCATTGTAAAAATGAAGTTACCACTTCGGGTATTTAATTCATTATTGGGTGAGATCATTCTTTACTTGATTGGATTGCAGTATAATTTAAGACTTTTATTATTTCACTTAAGCTATTTATTCTTCCAGAAATGAACACAAACACTATGGTTTTTGTGAAACTATACTAAAAGCTTCTATTTTAGATTATAAGATGTATTTCTTTAATGTAAATTTTCCTACTTTTTTCATATGTGTTCATGTTACAGAAAATGTAGCTTATTGGCTAACCTAACTTTCAGTTTTGTTAAGAGTTAAGCAGAAATCTCTTCTGTTCAACTACAAGCGGTTGAAAATTTGTCTTAAATTTTGGCATAGTGAATCTAAAGGCTTATTTCTTTTCAAAGTAGCAATGTGTCAAGTGTGTGGAATCATCCTTGAAATCATGAATGGGCACTAATGGAAGATAAGACTTGCTTAATTGTGCTGTGTCATCTTAGAAACTGTTCTGTTGATAGCACTTTAAGAAATACTTTCTATGGTAATATATGACACGTTCAAATGTAAGGTCTGCTTGATATGTTCCAATAAGCTCCCTAGAAGTTATTCCTATTTAAAAGCTTTGTAGTTCCTGGATTGTTGAAAATGGCTCTGTATAATGCGTGTGTGTGAGGAAGAGAAGATTATTCTGTTTATTTTTAATAAAGTACCCTTAAATTTATGCTTTTAACCTGTTACAATATTAAATTAAAATATCCTTCTTTTTTTCTCTGGCTGTAAAAATATCAGAAACTCAGAGTCCCACAGCTATCCAAAGAAACTTGAATTTCCCTGATAAAGGCTGTCAGAGCACAGGGTCATCTCTGACCAGCTCATTGACCTCCATAAATAAATACAATGCAGTGAACTCCCAACACAAAAGTGGCACTGACAGATCAGATGCTGGAACTGACTCAACGAACTTCAGCACATCTCCTGTTTTATTCAGTATCTGATCACTGAGGAGACTTTGTTTTCCTGTAGTCATCAAAACTAAGAAACAAATCCCATCTTTTATCCAATCATTTCCAATTTTGGAATAATAATTTTAAGTAAGTAAATATTAAGTTACACAGAAGGATACATTTTTCAGTGTAACTTCATACTTACCCAGTAGGAAGTGCCACATTTACCTAGTAAAAATACCAAAATTTCTAAAACTATTATTTGGAAAACCAGTAGTCTTAAAAAAGATTATATTTATTTTCTCTACCTTTTTTTTTTTTTTTTTTAATGGTTTATCCTTTTAAAATCACTCTCCATTCTCAGGAACTATCACATTCATATTTAGTAAGTTTAAAAATCTAAAAAACTATTTAAAAATGGCCATAAAACAATAAAGTTTAGAACCATCAATGTCATTTAAATCTTAGGAGAAATTTTTTTTTAATAAGTGTTTTATTTCTAAACTAAAGAACTGTGGCAGAGATGTAGTAATTTCAAAGACCTCAAACCAACTCCCCAGATATTAGGACTTACTCTTGTGAGGACAAAATAGAAAAATCATACTGCTTAATAAAAGGAATTGATACATTTTTAAGAGTAATAAGAAAAATATGAGGATGATGATACTCATTATAATGACTTCAGTAATGCCTAACATTTATTGCATGTTTTAGGTACCAGGTACTGTGCAAGAACTTCACATACATTATCTTATTTATTCTTTATAATAGCCCTATGAAATAAATGTTCTTCTTATTCCCATTGTATAGTTGAGGAGACTGAGATTTAGAGGGTTTCACTAACATATTCAAGGTGAAGCCTGAAGTAGGAACAGCTATCTGACTTCAAAGCCTAGTAAAGCATGAAAACATGAACAACAACAATACCACAACAGCAACAACAACCAAGAATCTTGAATTTCCCTGATAAAGGCTGTCAGAGCACAGGGTCATCTCTGACCAGCTCATTGACCTCCATAAATAAATACAATGCAGTGAACTCCCAAC